AAATTTCAGCTCTCTAGCTTTTCTGGTTCGCGAGTTAGCAGCTTACCCGTAAAAAACTTTGGGGGGGAGGGGGCTCTTACGTGGGCACCACGCGGGAAAGACCGCCCATTTTGGGGATAGAGGCCCATACGTGCATGTAGATTAAACCCCCAGTGTTTCAGCCCTGTAGCTTTTGTGGATCTCGAGATAAAAAATCGGTACAGACGCGCAGCGTAAAAAATCGGTACAGACACACAGACAATCTCTCGTCAATATGCGTTTTTCGCATTGCATGGCTGCAAAAAACGCATAAAAAAGATTAAAAATTTCCTAACCTGTGATCTTACGTCCCCTTGTCGCTAACGTACCCTATCATAGTCCAAAAGTGACGAAACTGGAGATGAGGCGTTGTTCAACGCGCAAAGGTCTAAGGGTAAGCACTAAATGCTTCTGTCAGAAGAACCACCGAGCTAGTAATTCGTTTAGAAGATGAAACGAACCGTCAGGATTACCAGTAGGCTAACAACCAAGCGATGCAACATTGGTCAAAGCGATTGTAAAAGTTGTCAGTTGTAACAGCTGAAGAAGCACGCTGTGAAATAATAGAATGAAAGGATTGGTTTTAAGTGTCATGTGCCGAAGGACATTTTACTATGTGGTAAACCTGTGTTTCATCCCTTAGCTGTAAACACAAACCAAGCAATGTGTGCGGGTAGTAGCGAGAATCATCAGTACAGCCTCCAACCCGAAAATGCAGCTGACCAAGGTATCGAAGCACCAAAGTATTTAGTAGGTTTCCCTCGTCGGTACAGTGTCATGAAGTCCAGCTGTATGCAAGTAACATTGCGAACTCTATGGCAGTAGTTTGGATCTTTTTGATAAGAAAATACTAGTGAAGAAAAATGAAAAGAAACACGCATGTAGAAAGTTTCAGAGAGAATGCTGTGATGAAACAACACTTAGCTAAAGTGTCAAGGTACCATATGTGAAATGATGAAGCAGCGTTTGCTCCCTAAATTCCACGATTTTTTTAACGTGCGCCTTACCGTCTACGAATTCATACTGCCCGCAAAGCCGAAAAAAGACTGTAACTCAACTCCTTTAGTATAAAAACAGCAAATACCTGTGAGTGATTTATGGCCGCTCGAATGCTCTCCAAATCGGCCAAATCAACAGTCGATGATGCATCACGTTCAGTTTCCGTTAACCAGTGTCCCAGATGTACGACAGTATCCATGAGGAGTTGTTCCCGGGGAGAGAGGGTCGGAGTAACGGGTTCTTCGGGCACCAGCGAATCGTTCAGAGTACCGTATTCGCTTGGTGTACGCGATTCTTTCTCTTCGGCTTTC